TCCGGCGGAGTCATCGACGGAGGATCTTAACAAGCTCCATCAATCTTTTAGTGGTAATGGAGTTGATCAGTTTCAATACCATCCCAAGAAACGGTTTAGGACAAAGTTTAATCAAGAACAGAAAGAGAAGATGATGGAGTTTGCTGAGAAGATTGGTTGGAGAATGACAAAGCAAGAAGACGAACAAGTGAATCTGTTTTGTCGTGAGATTAATGTGAAAAGACAAGTGTTTAAAGTTTGGATGCACAACAATAAGCAAGCAGGCAAGAAGAAAGACTTGTAAGAGACTTCATTTATATACTATTTTTACTTCTCAACACTTAATTAAAGACTTGTGTGTTTCAGAAGTTATAATAATTTGATTTTAGAGCTCAGCGTAACGTTCTCTTATCTCTCCAGCAACCTGAGAAGCCTTTTCTTTTGTGGTTTCATAAGCATATTTTGTAGATTTCTTGACCTTGTCTATGGCTTCTTCGAATCCTTTGGCTGCTCCATCTTTGCCTTTGTGTGATTTGTCTTGCATATACTTAGCTGATCCATCCATTGCTTCTGTTGCTTTGTCTCTACCATACTTCATTGCACGTTCGGCTTTATCAGCTGCCATATCTTTGGCATTCTGTGATTTCTCTTTGATTCCTTCATAGGCTTCACCGCTCTTGTCTGTCGCCATCCTAATCACATCACCGGACTTGTCATACCCGTGACCCGCCTTGTCATACGCAAAGTCTTTTGCGTCTTGTGCCTTTTCATAAGTTATGTCCTTTGCATTGCTAGCTTTCTTGTAGGCAAAGTCTTTGGCCTCACCCGCTTTCTCATAACCAAAATCTTTAGCCTTCTTCGCATTGCCATAAGCAGACCCTACCTTATCAAAGGCGACGTCTTTAGCATCGCCCGCCTTTTCATAAGCCATGTCCTTCGCATCAGCAGCCTTGTCATAGGCGAAATTCTTTGCGTTGCCCGCCTTATCATAAAATCCTCTTCATGACCAGCCTTCTCGTAGGCCATGTCCTTTGCGATGTTTGCCTTCTCATATGCAATGTCCTTCGCATTGCCCGCCTTTTCATAGGCCATGTCTTTTGCAATGCCTGCCTTCTCATTTGCCATGTCTTTAGCATCACCAGCCTTATGAGAGCCATAATCCATCATGCTTTGGCACTTCGATAAGCAGCTCCCACTTTTTCAAAGGCAAAATCCTTTGCGTGTCCAGCCTTCTCATAAGCCATGTCTTTCACATTGCTTGCCATATCATAGGCATAATCCTTCGCGTGTCCCGTCTTCTCGTAGGCCATGTCCTTTGCATTACCTCCCTTATCATAGGCATAATCCTTTGCATGTCCCGCCTTCTCGTAGGCCATGTCCTTTGCGTTTCCTGCCTTATCATAGGCATAATCCTTTGCAATTCCCGCCTTATCATACGTTATATCCTTAGCATTACCTGCCTTATCATAGGCCGTGTCCTTTGCATAGCCTGCCTTCTCATAAGCAATGTCCTTTGCATATCCCGCCTTCTCATAAGCCATGTCCTTTGCATTGCCTGCCTTATCATAGGCATATTCCTTTGCAATTCCCGCCTTATCATACACCATATCCTTAGCATTACCTGCCTTATCATAGGCCATGTCCTTCGCATAGCCCGCCTTCTCATAAGCAATATCCTTCACATTCCCTGCCTTATCATGGGCGAAATCCTTTGTAGTACCGGCCTTGTCATAGGCAATATCCTTTACATAACCCGCTTTCTCATAAGCCATATCCTTTGCATTGCCTGCCTTCTCATAGGCCACGTCCATAGCATCACCAGCCTTATGATAGGCGCAATCCTTTGCGTATTTTGCCTTGCTCTCGGCAAAATCCTTAGCGTAACCTGCACTGTCATAAGCCGAGTCCTTTACTTGTTGCGCCTTGTCGTAAGCATAGTTTTCCTCTTTCTTGCTACCAAATCCACTGGAAAATAATTAAAACATTACATCTCAATCATTCGCCTAACTACGGCCAATTACATGCACATTAATATCCAATGTAGTGATCGAATCTAAAGACTCCAAAAATACCACGAGACATTACCAATCTCACATTGTGTACTTATAATCAAATTGAGATCACACATTAAAAGAATTTGTAGACCGAACCATAATCAATGTGGTAAGTACGTAAACGACTGATCGGACCAGAAGTGAGTTTTTAGAAGTTATTTACGTGGTAACTTTGTCGGAGACCCAACCAGCCCATGAAGCGGTCTTGTCTTTAGCGTCTTGAGCAGTCTCCGTCGCCATTTTCTTGGTCGTTCCGGCGACGTCTTTCGCCGTCGTCTCTGCCCATTTTCCCAAACTCCCCTTCTGCCTCGTCAGCACCACCACAATCACCAGCAACACCAATGCCGTTCTTTTTCTTTCCATCATCTCTTTTTACAAACTTCTTCTGAATTTTCTTTGACCAGTTTCTTTTTTTTTTTGTTATTTTAAATGTTTTGATTCAAGTTCCAATATCTTCGGAAGTTATAGAAAGAGATTCTATAATCCAAGACCAAAGGTCTTTCCGACAAGCGGTTACTGTTCGCCACGTGGTTTAACAAGGTTACGTGTCTCTGTGTACTCGCCACGTGTCGTACATGACAGGTCTGTGTCTGACCGCGTTCCTCTCCTAGACCAGACAGACGTCAGATGTTTCCAAAGCGGTTTACATAAACGATGCACTGCTTTAACCTTAAAACAGACTTCGGTTAGTCCAAATTAAATCAGACACATTATTAACCGAAGTTGAACCGGTCACTCAAGCAACGTCAGTATTTCATTTTAATTGACTAAAGAGGGAAACCATACAGAAAAAGTGACTACTCTACTTTAAACGATTGGTCGCCTTCAGTCGCAAGTCTGGCTCTTTGGTGGTGTTCTTGGATTTTATAATCCACAATCTCTTCAAAAAGCTGTGAATCCAAGACGCAATCCGGTCGTCCGTACACCGCAGCTTGAACACCAGCCACGAGCTTAGCAATCTCACGACCAGAGAAGCCTTCTGTCTTTTTTGCAGCCTCTCTGATCACTTGGTCGGTTAGGTCTCCTTCGACGGTTATCTTCTGTGACTGCTGCTTGAACAAATGGCTCCATTTAGTGTTTGTGTCTTTGTCTTGACCAGTTAGGTACTTGTTGAGATAGAGTTTAAGGAGCTTGAAACGTTCTTCTTCACCAGGGAGAGGAAACTCGATAACTTCGTCAATCCTGTCAGTGACTGCACTGTCGAGATCACCAGGTCTGTTTGTGGCGAGAACAAGAACTATGTCCCGTGACTGATCACCGGTTCGAAAGAGCAATGCGTTCAGAGCGCTGCGCTGGGCCTCGCTCATATATGTGCTGTTACGTCTGCGATAAAAGACCAAGAATTTGATCAACTATTAGACACAACTCCAGGGATACAGTAGAAGTAACAATGAGCTAAACTGTGAACAAATTATTTTTGATAAGGGACAAATCGATGGATAGTCCAGTGATCCCGCTCGACTATACTACATTCTGCCATTGTGTTGGTAAGAAATTGCAATCCGTTGATTCAACCTATATTCTATCTTATACGGCTCTAGTAAACAATAAGTAACAGCATATCGAAAGGCTTTAGAAAAGAGGTGAGAAGATCTTACTCGCATAAGAAAGCATCAGCTTCATCAATGAAAAGCAGTAAGCCTTTGTTTGATTTCTTAGCCCAATCAAATATCTGATGGATTTTTGTAACAGCCTGTGCACCCAGAGGAGCAACATCTCCTCCTGTCATCATAGCATAATCAAGACCCTGCAGCACAATATTATCCAACAGGTGTAAATAAGTGAGGCCGTATTGAGTCAATCAATTCGAGATTCGTGATGACTGCTTGAGTTTGCAGTTGCATAAAGAAAACAATTATAGATTATATAGACTCGGGGTACGCAAAAAATGATAACTTACCGACTTCCGAGCAATTTCCCTCGCCACCATAGTTTTCCCTGTACCAGGAGGCCCGTAAAACATCATGTTCCGGAATGGAGCTTGATGAGACTTGGTATTCGCTGTGGCTCTTGCGAGATGCTCGATCCTCTTCTTTAAAGAAGGATGGAGAATTACATTTTCAAGGGGCTTTTCTCCTTCTGCAGCTGCTGTTGCCCCTGCAGCTGTGCTAAACCTAGAGATTTTGTTCTTAAACTGAGACACTGGTCCCGTCCATGGAAATCTACTCATGGAAGATTCTCGGATAAGTGATGGCTGCCCAAGTATTCTGTTAATATAACCCCAGGTAACCCTAGCACCCTCTCTGTTGTCGTAAAAGAACCAAATGAAAAGAGTATATATTAGGCTTCTTAAATCACAGCTATGCATGTTTTTAAAATGTAAAATAAATTGTGTAATAAGGAGATGCATACCGAGTTGTGTAAACTCCGGCAGCTAATGCTGTAACTCCTCCAACAGTCATAATCAGCTTATTTCGATCAGTTAATAAGGTCCTGACTCCCCCTGTTAAGTTCAATATAGAAACAAATGAATACGATGCCACATTCTTAAAAAATCAGAAGTCAAAAATTCCTCGCTAAAGTTACTTCATTCAGAACAATCTAGCGAGAACCACAGACAATCTAGAAAAGTGAGAGACTCTAATTATAACAAGATGTGTGACATGTGTCTATTTCAGGAACAATGATAATAAGTTTCATACCTTCAATGTGACTGAAGGTGGTGTTGATTGCCGCAAGCCATTTCTCCCTTTCGCCATTTATCCTATCCAGAAGCATTCTTCGATTCTGCTCCTCAGAAAGTTTGGCTTCATGAGCTCGGCCTTCAGCCTCAGCCATGGCTTTGACGCGAATCGTTTCTCGCTCAAGTTCAGCTCTCTCTTTCTCAGTCTGGCGCTGCTGTGCTTGAATCTGTTCTTCAGTGGCGATTCTTGCTTTCTCTTTACGGATAGATGACTCCTCTTGCATCTTAACCAACTCAGCATTATGCCGTCTCTGAGCTTCATGATCTGCCTGCAAAAATTACAAGTCAACGACTTCTCACTAAAGAACGATCCTTAAATCTGTTAAACATAGGTTCCTTCACAGTTTCTTTCTTAAAATATACCTGCTGTCGCTTCCTCGCCAACTCATCCTCATATCGAAGATTTTGCGCTTTTGCTTGTGCTTGTTGCTGCACTAGATTTCTCTGATCCTCAGCCAATTTCCGCTGTCTTTCCTGCCCCATTCAAATCCCCATAAAACAATCATACTTGACACTTTCCGGCTCAAACTTTTTCTATCATTGTAAAATGTAGATTCTGCAACCAATGTGCAGCAACACTTTGAAGCAGTATAGAACATCCTACATGTATTTAGATATAGTAACTTGCAAGAACACCCGAGGACAATGAGAAGAATGCACATAGAACATGATAATCAAATTAACCAAAGCAAATCAAGAAAACGGAAGAACAGGTTACTCACGATGTCCTTGTGTGCTTCCCTCGCTTCATTCTGCGCTTTCTCTGCCGCTAATTCAGCCAACCGAGTTTTCTCCTGCTTTCTCATTAGATCAAACACCTGGTGAACACAAGATCATGTAAGCAAACATCCCAACGAGCAAACAATATCCTCTTAAGATCAAACACCTGTTTAGAATGAGGAGAGCTATTGATTTCTCTAAGAGCTTTAGCTCCTCTTTCCAATGACTCAGGATCGAAACCAGATCCTTTAGGTTCATCAGGCTCCGGTTTGGTCTCCGATTTAGATTCCGACGAAGTCTTATCGGTTGGAGATTCTGAAGGCGGTGAAGAAGAGTAGAAAGGAAAGCGGAATCGCGAATCAGCGTATACAGGACTCTGCGACATCGACATTGAAGTGAAAGCAGCAGCTATCGCAGCAGCGGAACATAATCTAGAAGCAGCCATATGGATTACGACTAAAAAACAGCACCTTTCTCCAATCCGATCAAGAACCCAGAAAAACCCTTGAATTTCAAAACATTTCGGATCGAGAAATGGGGTTTGTGAAAAATGGGGGGAAGCACGTCGGAGAAGTGAAAGGAAATGACTTTTATTCTGGTTTAGTTCCGGTGGCACGACCATAAACCCCACGGTGGCTAGGGTTTAAATGGTATTTTTGAAGAAATTATTAATCTTTTTATGAATTGTGACAAAATCGATTGTACATCTTTTTTGGGCCCTCTTTTTTGGATAGTATCGAATCTATAGGTGGGCTTAACTTTAAATTCAGGCCCATAGTTGAGTCCGTGTTTTGAAACCTTGCATGAGATTACTCACCACCCAACTAAATATTCCAAAGTGAGTATAGTCGTCGAATAGCCAACTTACCAGATTTTTTAATGGGTTTAAACCATGACACCACTTCGACTAACTAAAAGATTGACTA